TGATCAAACTAAAAGCTTCTGTGCGCTATAGCCCTATCAATTTGGTTTCACGAGGGGAATGGAAAACAAACACTCCCGATATCTTGTTAGGTAATCAAAATGTTTATTTAGACGCGATAATCTTACCTAGTCGTTTTGTTAGAGATGCTTTTGTATAGCATCGATACTCGATTTAGATGGATTCTTATCACAAGTCCATCATACCAAATCATTTCCATGTCCCACCTCTAGTTATTTGGCCATATAAAAAAAAATTGATTAGCGGAATGGGACAATTTCTTATCTAAATCCATTAGAATGGAGGGACCTTAAAGTCCAAGAGTGGCAAGTGTTCGCCTAAGTAAGATGTGGCTGGAAAATAGAAGGATCGTGGCTCTTTTGGGCTACCTCCAAGTTGCATTTTACGTGGTGTATTTTTGTGTACATGGTATAAGAATTCATTAATTGGATAAAAATACTTGGCCTTTTCAGACCCATCACGAGACAACAGAGGTTTTTCCATTTTGGTGTTGTCTTTTTCTTGTCTAGTCCTGAAGTTTGAAAAATACTTCTACAGAATTGCATCATGCGTTCTTCAACTATTTATATGTTACAATTAATTTTGGTTGAAAATTAATTATTTTTTATTATTTTTTTATGTTGCATAAATCGAGTTCTTGGGTTTTTTTTCCCTTAGATATTAAATTGGAAGGGAGCTTGTAGTAAAATGAGTTACTACAATATAATTCATTTTTATTCGATGTTAAATTTATCTCTTAACATACCATAGCAAAATGATGACACTTTTAAGAACATCAATCTTATAATATGTGTGCTCGTTTTTTAGTTTTAATCTAATCGAATAATTTGCTGGAGTTTAATGAATGTTGATACTACATTAAGATTTGAGAGTCTATCTTAAAATATCAAATTTATTAAGAGGAGTAGCTCAAATAATTAAATATCGGTTATATATTTTATCTTTATTTGATGTGAAATTTATACATTAACATGTCCCTGTTGATGGCTCGTTTGAGAACATCAATTCAGAATCCATGTGCTCATTTAGTTTTGATTGGATCGAATTTTTTGTTGGAATTTCAGTTACTCTAATTCCATATTAAAACTTGGGGAGCTTTTCACGAATAACCTAAATGCTAAATTATTTTTCGACATACTATCTAACCTTTTGTTTCTCGAAATATTGTTTTTCTTATTATATTTTGCACTACACTTTATAATATTGTGTTACGCAACATGTTTACTCCTCCATCATCATCAATACCATCACCATTGCAATAAACTCCCCAAATGCACACACCGACCCAACCAATTAAATTTGACACCGATGTTGTCATCATCACCATCAATATCTCGACCACCTCTCCAAACCTCAATGGTTAAGATGGCTTTTTATAATCTCTCAACTAAAATTGATTCATACGAATTTACATGATTGAATAGAACATATGAAAGTAAAAGAAAATTTCAATCAAACCGAATCATTTCCATTTCCCGACAATATAATTGTCGGGGCATATAAAAATATTGCTAGGCGGAATGGACAATTTGTTGTCTAAATTCATTAGAATGGGGGTCTAAAAAGTCCAAGAGTGGCACGGGTTCGCCTAAATAAAGATATGGCTGGATAATAGGAGGATAGTGGCTTAGACTACATCCTTTTTGTGTACATGGTTTTTCGACCAACTCAGCACTAGACAACGCATAATAGTATACAGATGAGTAATTATGTTTATAGTGAAAGACCACCATAATCATACCATAATCATCATACATAGTCATTTATTTAATCACTTAATTTTTTAATCAATAATGCTCACTATACCCATGTCTGGCTCCACTTTTTACAAGGTTAAAATCAATTTTTATACCGTTGCAAAGTGCAAGTGGATCCCAGTGTCTGGCTTTTATTGAGAAGGAAGTCAAAAATGACAGCAGCAACTATACAATAATTGATTAATCCAGATGAATTTTTTTCCCAAACAAGCATTATGAATGATTAAGTGATTAAATATATGCCACATAGGATAACTACGGTAGTCGTTCTCTACGAATAGTATTACTCATACAAAATACACGACAATAGGGGTTTTTCCATTTTGGTTTGTCCTTTTCTTGTCTAGTCCTGAAGTTCCATTTTGGTGTGTTCACACGCCTCGTGTGCTCGTCGTTCAAAGTCAAGATCTAACTTATGGTTTCGTGTTATAAATGCTCGCTGACAATGGCCTGGGTTTGCACATGCGAGCTCTAAGTTAAGTCGAATGGAAATTCCTGCCACTATCCTTGTAAAATCAATTGTTAACATACCGAAGCCAGTATTCATGTCTATTTGAATAAGCTTCTTTCATTTTGCAACAATAATTGACAAAAGACATTTTTTCACAGTCAACTCTATAATCTTAAAGCTGGTTGTTATTTGGTCTGATTGGCCAGATTGGTGAATTTTTCTGAGGTTTGGTGGGATAATTCTTATCAAAGTACTCAATATTCTGGCAATAATATGAGCATGACTCTTTTAATTACATGAACCAGAAAAAGTTGTAGCCGTGACTAGATTAGTAGTTCTTTCAAAGTGGTAAGATGACTTTTTTACTAGGCGTTAAGCGACCGCTTTATTTGTCTAAATGTTGAGCCGTTTCTAAGTGACTAGGCTATAGTCGAGCATGCTGCATTGGGAAAGATTTGACTTGACTAGACCGTTCTGTACTCTTCTATCATCCTCCAACTGAACAATCAAGTGAATTTAACTGTAAGTGTACATTAAAGGGTCACATGAATAGATTCATTGAATTCTCCAATAAGCATGTTTTTTCTCACTAGGAAAATCTCGTGCCCTGTGATGATAAGCTGGAGGGTGTGGTCATAATTACTCTTCGAAACAATGGAAGAAGGGAGAATACATAGTACAGAAGAATAGATATCCAACATCAAAGACTTGTGCTCATTTTTGTGAGTGGATACACAAGGGAAAGCCACACCACATATTCCAAAAGCAATTGGTTTGGGTCCCATATGGTTCAAGAACGTGCTTCGAATTCTCCTAGGTGCGCATAACATTGTTTGACTGAAATATTAGCATCAAAACATGAAAGGATTGGACACCATAAAACCTTATAATGCTGCAATTTGATAGACCAAAGTAACCCTTTGGCCATCAATCAAATCTTACTAGATGGGATTACAGACGAAACCTATAAAAGATTTCAGTTTTCACCAACCGAAATGTGACCCTTTAATAGGCATCCTTAGGATCAACATTTCTACATGCCGTATTGGTGGATCGTGTCAACAAAGAGATGCATGCAAAGCTTTCCTTATGCGTCCCATCCTTCAACTTTGTGTTGGGCAGCATGATTTAGTATATCAGACTCGATTTTTTAATTTGGTCTCTTTTGCTCATTCTAGTAATATGGCGAAAAAGTATTTATGCAACCGACTCTAAATTATCAAAAAATTAGACCATATTATGCAAATTATGATCCATGGGAAATAATCTACTTTTTTGAGAGCACACCACTTGATATTCCATCATAAGTAGGGTTGACTTAGAAGGACTTTCAGGTTTGCATTGTGCTGTAGAGAATCAAAAAACGATCCTAAGGCTTAAATTCTTTTATAAGATTTTTGCATACTATAGGATGCACAAGTAATTTCTATTAAAACTAGCAGTGAAAATCTTAAGGCTCCCTCAATTTACTTTCTGTAATCTAAGTTCATTACTTCAAGTACAAGTCTCAAGTCTGTGTTGCGCCATCACATTCAAATTTTTGGCGCCCTGAGCCGGTCCACAGTTGCACCCCAACTTTGTGTCACCTTTCATTTACAATAACTGAAACTTCAAGACCTCATTACCAACTGTTGATGATAGTGTGATCATCTCTCAGGTTGTATAGTTACTCTTACTGCCTACTGGTTTACATTGGCTGTCTGGACATGACTCGTTGGAAATTCCACAATGAGTACACTAACAACAGAAACTAAGCCTCATTAACATTAAGTTTAGGGTCGTCTACATGATAAATACATGGCTTGATTATATTTTTACCTTCTGTTGTATTAAAACATTAAGAAGCTGAATCTTGATGATCTGTGCTCCAACATAGTCCAGTTCATCTTGGATCCTTCATACACATCTACAGACTATGTTCCACTTCTGATAGAATATTGTGATTCAGAGTAGGGAAAAACCAGTCTTAAAAAACATTCATGTACATTCATACCCAACAAATTTGTAGGTTGTAGCAAAATCATTAAGTCTCGTTTTCTTTTAGATTTATGAACAGCTAAAAGTTTTCATGCTCAATACCTGCAGTTAACATGGTAAATTCCTTGATGCCAACGCAAGGTATGAAGCTCCAAAGGTTTCACCACGACCAATCTGCATACTATTCTTTTTAACCGGATGATGTCTCGGACAAGTATCGCTTGCCATTTATGTGGAGAACGTACCATGAAACCAGCCTTTGCAGGCAATCTCATACAACTTCCTTTCACAAATAATGAACAGAATCTTTATTTAAGAGCTCATAATTTTTAGGTTTGAATCAAATATCATATTGCATTTCAGACTGACAAAAAACACTAGACCCAATGAATATTCTTTCATACAGTAAATGGGCTAACGATGTAACACAGTGACAATAGATATAAAACAAAGGGATCTGTTGAATATTCTTCTACAGAGATCTATGTCAATGTAAAAGAGAATGCAAGTTGTACAGTACTTGAACAGACTGAACTTCCTTTTCGTCCTCAATTTGTAAAGTGCTATCCAATCTTACCTATCAAATATGCCAAAAATGCTCTGTAACAGTGGCAGCCAAAAAGTCTGTTTATCTCCAAGGGCATTGACAATCCAATGAAGCTTAATTTTAACTTCCTTGAGCTTCATGATGGGAGGAACAGCCTTCGGATTTGAAGTGTCGTTCAAGAGCATTCTCCCAGGTATCAAGATTTTGCCGAACATAAGTATTTACAAGGATTATTTCTCTTTTCATTTTTCACCTAAGCATATCTACAGAATATAACTGCAACCCGCTCAATGCAGGAGATATGCTAAAAGTGTTACCCTCGCCACCAAAAAATGAAGGATGTCCAAGGGGTGTTGGCCTATCGGGAATTGTAGGAACCTCAATGTCTCCTTCCAACATTTTCAACGCATCCAAAATGGTCGGCCGTAAGGCCACCATAACATGAGCACACAGAATACCAACAAGTACAAATCTTTCCATTATGAGTTTCGGATTTGCATTTGATGAATCTCCATCTTTCAAAAGTGAAGCATCCAATACTGATTCTAATTTCCCCGCTTTCACCAGTGACCAAGCCCAATCTGTGATTAAAATTGCTCGAGGTGATTCTGAGGATAGATCAAGAGCTTTCTTCCCGCACATTATCTCCAAAACAACTACCCCAAAGCTATAAACATCACTTTTCTCAGTTAACTGTCCATAGAGAGCATATTCAGGAGCCAAGTATCCATGTGTTCCAGCCACTCTGGTAGTGAGGTGAGACTGTCCTTCTCTGATTTGCTTTGCCAATCCAAAATCCGCAACTCTTGCCTTCATATCTGCATCCAACAAAATATTTGTAGCCTTAATATCCCTATGATAAATAGCTGGCTTTACTCCATAATGCAGATAAGCTAATCCGTTTGCCAAATCCATAATTATGCTTTTCCTTTGTGGCCATGTCAATGGTAGCTTCAAACTTCCACCTTGATTTACCGGAAACAAATGGTCATCGAGGTTTCCATTAGGCATGTAATCATAAACGAGGTATCTCTCACTCTCTCTTGGACCAACATTTTCAGTCACACAGCACCCTCTAAGCGGCACAAGATTCCTATGCTTCAAGTTACTAATGATCTCAACTTCATTGCAAAACTCATCATTCCCTTGAAAATCAGATTCTACAAGCTTCTTAACTGCAACAACTGTCCCATCAGCTAAAGTTCCTTTATAAACCATCCCGAACCCACCTCTTCCGATGAAATTCTTGGATGAAAAATTATCGGTTGCCTTCTCAAGCTCATGAATTTTATACCAAATAGCCACTGTAGTAGGCCTCTTTCTTGACCTAGATTCCATTTCTTCTTCTCCCGAATTAATTCCATCGTGTTTTTCCATCCGTCTTCTGTTCCACCATAAGTACATTCCCAGCAAACAAGACATCAGCAAAATCGCCACACCGGCCCCAGTTAGTCCAAAGACAAGAGCCAAATGCCGTTTACTTGAAGAACCCTTATCCGAATCAATCGAAAGACCAAAGATACAAGTCAAAGCACCAGTGCTTTCAGGCCCAAATTCATTGACAATGCCAGCAGCATATAGGACTGCAAAGTAAAAGCATTCAGTGGAATGGGACTTATTACCATCAACTGCAATCAAATCGGTCTGAACCCGTAAACCGGCAGCCAGACAAGCATCGCACTGAGTAAGATCAGTGAGGTCTGGCTTACAAGCAGAGTCCAGTATAGTGAAGGGACCAAGCTTCTTGCTCCAATCTTCGGTGGACTCAATGGAGGCGCATATATTGGGAGTTATCACAAATTGCAATGGATCAAAGCAAATGGATGTGAGATTTTGTGGGAGAAAAAGAGAGTTCAACTTGGATTGGAAATCTTCAAGGCAAGAAACGGAAGTTGGCAAATTGGGCAGTTGAAAAAGAGAAGTCTCTTTAAGATGCTGTGACAGTCCTAAGCCATAAAGGGAGAGGAGGGTTTGGCAGCACTGGCGTTTTCCGGCGGTGGGATCGCCGGAAGTAGGAGAAATCTGCTGGGTTGAATTAGGATTTGGTGGGGTTTTGCAATCAGAAATCGACCATGGGATTCTCAGTACATAACCAAGATCCATGGGACATGTAGATGAATTGGTGCTTGAAGTTGGAGAAGAGGAAACTGAAGAAATTAACTCCAAAATACAAAGAAACAGACAAAAAATTAAGAATCTAGCCTTCATTTTCATTCTGTTAGTTCAAAAACAAACAGATTCAGACTGAAAATCAAGATTCAAGAAAACATAAATGGTGAAAAAGCAGAATTCACCCCTCTCTATCCCAGATGGTTCCGAGAAGAGCAAATGGTGGTGAATAAGATCGAAATTTGTTTTACTGATGTAATATGTGAAATCAAGTTTGAATCTTCGATAAAAGAAGGTGCAGAAAACTGGTCAAATTTGAGTTCTTTAATAGTCAGGTTGCTGGGCGGCTGCTGTCTTTGGACTTCAGTAAATGCCGACGTAGGATTGCATTAACTGTCATGGGTGAATACGACTAAACTGTTACATTGCGAGGGATTTGTGAGATATAAGAAACCAAAGATTGTTGATTTATCATTAAAAAGGTCTTGTATTTTGCTACCCACATAGGACTGACCCAGTTTTGGTCATGATTAGAGACATCTTGATTTCTGAAACAGAACATATACCAAAATAAAACATCGAAATTAGATAGCCAACATAAAACAAACTTGTAAGTTGAGTGACCTCGACTAAAAAATTTTCTTAGTTTATTCAAGTTACAAAGGGCGAATTACAACCATAGTCCCCAACCTTTGATCCATTTCAAACCTCATCTCCAATTTATTTATTGTGACGAACCCTACCATTTGATACCTTTAATTGATTAATTGGCTTCATCCTTGTGGCCGAGATTTTTTTGGAGAATGTATAATAAAAAAATAACGTGCTAAATTATTTTATTAAAAGAATGTATGATTGACAAAGAATTTGATGGGAAGTAATTTTGAAAAAAATAAAATCAAACAATAGCTCAATATTTGAAGAGTCAAAACATTCTAGCCTCTATTAGAGATGTCAGATTATCTCTCTCTGACCAATGTAACATATGATGAACAATCAAATAATAATGCCAGGAAAAATTGAAGTTACGGTGCCAAATCTTTTATTTAGTAGCAGATTTTGTGATATAGGAGGATCCGAGTCAGACGAAGCCGAGCTATCTGATAGCACGTTAATAGCGCTGAGATACCATGAGTTGGCGGATCAATGCAAAATTGGCAAATAATCATCAACCTTTCCTAATTGTGGCTTTTTTTGACACGTTTTGGTATTTTGACCATAACTTTGGTTACGGTTGTCAGAATCACGCCCGTGACCCCAATTCGGAAAGCTTGTTTCGGCGCGCACGTCGTGGGCACCTAGATATGCTCGGTGTGCATCGGTTTCGAGGTCAAATTCAGCTGTTTTCCCTTCCGAATCATCGATTTAAGTTATTTTTTGTCATTTATGGTAATATTTCGGTTTCCTTTTTNTAGTGTTATTTTTTTGCGTTCTTCCCTATTATTGTCTATTGGTTCCATCCTGCCCGCCGTCACTTTATCCAAACATTTCATTTGTTTTACCCAAGTAGCTATGTCAATGAGTCGAGGCGAAAAAAAAGCTCAGGCTCGACTCGAGTTTTTTTAGGCCTAGTTTTTTTGGGCTCGAGCCGAGCCGAGTTAAGCTCGGCCAAAAAAAATGAGGCTCGGCCCGAGTCTGAGTGGGCCGAGCTGAGCCATTCAGATTTTTTTTTTTAATGTCAAATTTACATTTTTACTTAAAAAATTTAAAATTTGTATGGTTTATACGTACTATAAATTAAATAAAAAAGTTCGGACTCGGCTCGAACTTTTTTGGACCGAGCTTTTTGGGCCCGAGCAGAGCAAAGTCCAGCCAAAAAAATGAGGCTCGGTTTTGAGCCGGGCCCGACTCGAGCTTTTTCCGAGCAGAGCCCGAGCCGCCCGAGTCGGCGAGTTTTTTTGCCATCCCTATACCCAAGGAACCAAACATTTTAAAATATCGCAACTGAAGTCTAAATGGAAGGAAACTATTAGTTTGACCGTTAGTTAACCAAATAATTAACATTGACTATAATTTTTACGAATTTTAAAAGGATAAAATTGTAACTTTATATTTTTTCAATAAAAAATACAATTATAATATATGAATAATTAAATTTAAAAAACATAAATAAAAGAAAAAATAGGTTTTTTTTTCTTTTTCTTTTTCTTTTTCTTCTTCCCTCTACCCCATCCCCACCCACCAAAACCAAATCCAAAAGCTATCGCCACCGTCATCTTCCACTGCCACCGCCATCGGCACCTGCCACCAGCACCTCAAATGAAGAAAATTTTAACTGCGTTACGATGAATGCCTAAATTGTGAAGTCAAAGCAGTGTTTGGAGGCACATCCTCAAAACCCATCCCCCACTTTCCATTCTGGCATAATCCATGAACACATCTTCAAAACTAGGCACCACTACCTCAAAAGGTTTTTGGATTAAGTTTCAAGCACTGTTAATTTGATTATTGGTTGAATTTTCAGTCTTCCCCGGCGAGCCCTTCTCGCACTCGCCTTACCTGAATTCGGCTAGCTCTTCTCTTTCTCTTCTTCTGTAGGTGGTGGTGTAAGTAGGTTCTTGTTGTGGGATAGTGGTGGTGTTAGTGGGTTCTTGTTGTGGCTGTGACTGTAGCGTGGCGATGGTGTTTCGATCTCTTCTGCAGAGGGAATCGTTATAATGGGTGAGATCTAATGTGTTAGTAGATTCAATCTCTTGCCCTGTTTCAATTATGGGAGTTTGTTATGCAACGGCTTTTGCAATTCTTTTATCGACGGAGACGGTGGTGCCAGCGTTGGGTGGGTGCGATGGCGTCGATCGTTGTTGTTACTATTGATGGTGTTGGGGAAGAATGAAAGGATGGTAGGTGGTTTTTATCTTTTAAATTTAATTATTAATACATTATAATTGTGATTTTTGTTAAAATTTTTTTTATTTCAATGTTAAAATACCTTTTAGAATTAGTCAAAAATATTGTCAATATTAATTATTTGGTCAACTAACGATTAAACTAACAGTTTCCTTTCATTTGAACTTCAGCTGTGACATTTTGAAATGTTTGATACCGTGAGTGGCACAAATGAAAGGTTTGGATAAAGTCTGCTACTAGATGTAAGGTTTGGTACCGTTGTAATTTTCCCTTAAATATATGAATATGAGACACTTTTGTTAATTTTATCATTTAATACAACGTATACAATGTTACACAGTGATACCAATGGAGACTAATAGAAAAGTAAATATAAGAAAATGATGAGGATTTAGTGGGAAATATTCATGTGACCTGTCATACGGATGGCAGTGGGACAAGTCAAGGTCGAGGGGAAACTATTCCCGTCACTTGCCTCGTCGAGTATTTTTATCTCCTTATCCAACCCTATATCTGGTTAAGACGTGGTAGAGCGAGGCGAGTCCTCTGCCCTGCTTACCATCCTGTTTATTTTTTATTTATTTTTTTCGTATTTTTAATTGGGGAAAATCATTACTTTTTTTTCCAATTTGTAGAACAATTCATTTTTCATTTAGAAAGAATGATGAATCTTTCCTTTATTTGATAAAAGACTTATATCTTAAAATGAACTTTAAAAAGGATGGGGACCATGTTCCCATCGCCTACCCCTGTTCTGCTTTCGTTTTTGGGCCATGACCCCCACCCCACTCCTTTGTACCAAATTAGGTGAGAAATCCCATTTGAGTGGGATCCGCGGATAGTGAATTTAACAAGAGTTTTTGCTATTCCTACCCGATCACTTAAACAAATGACCTTTAGTCCAATAAAATATAAAAAATAATAACAATAAACAAATACCTATGATACCCTAAAAACGTATCATTGGCATTCTCAAAAGGCGATTCTAGAGGTGACTTCATCGACTACAAATTGAAAGCTCCTATGTTAAGGATCAAGTAGATTTATCTTAGATTAATCTCAAACAAGTGCAAGAAGCTCCAATTCTAAGGTTACCATTTCTTATGTTGTTCTTGTGAAGAACTAATTCATCAATTTATCATTTCCGAAATTGACTATGCCGAATATAAGAAGATAAATTTGAATGTTCAAATCTTAACATGTAGCAATAAACATTATATCTTCATATTTAACTTTAAAGGATGTTCCATCGACTAAAATTAGGCATCGCATTGAAGATGTAAATTCTCGAATACATGGTCCAATAGCCATAAAAAGTATTTGCAGTGGTCGTCGACATCTATCTCAGTATAGAATGTTGATCCAGGAGATCTTCCCTTGTTACCTAGCCAGTTTAACATAACTCTCCTAGGGTGAACCTATATTAAATCTTCCAATGTGCATTCTTTGATCTTTCAAGCTATTTGATAGCTTATGACCATCTCAAATTCTCGATTGATGTAGTGAATAATATCTGCAGGTCTAAATATTATCATTGAATCTTGAAACCTGTGCATTTTATATCTTCCATTAACACATGATCTAGCTTGTTTGTGATATTAAGATAAATACCTATTGAGCAAGTATGTTCACGTGCTTAACAGAACAATAAAGAAATTAGCCGTGTCAAACTACTGTCATCTACACAAATAATTGTGTAGGTTGTCCTTTTTGATTTCTTCATTTTGAATTTAAAGTTGTGTTTCAGTACAATTATGTGCACAACTTCTTGAAGATCTTTTTTTGTGTCAAAATAGTTGGTAAATTTTTATCATCGAGAATCACATGTGAAGTACGAGAAGATCGTGAACGGGGCCCAATTTACGAGTTCCCACCTAACTCGTGTCTAAATTTGGATAAATCAATGAGATCTTGGTTTGTAAATGAAATTTTCTCCTCATTTTCTTGAATTATCTTAGGGTTTGTATATCCTGATATGTAGATCCATCTTCGAAATAACTATAGCATTCTTTTGAGCTATCTTTACTGTGTTCTAAAAATCATCAGATGATGGTCCACTTCATCAATTGCTTAATGTTCATTATCAGGGATATCCATCTTCACAAAAGTTACACAAAGAGGAATGATATTTTTGGTTGAGTTGAATTAGCCACCTCACTTGCAAGTTAGAAGTAATCTTTATTGGTGGAATTGAGAAATGTGTATTGTCGGCAAAAAGAAATTTGAAACCCATCTTGTACTTAGACGGTTCA